TTATCCTATACATAAATTATCCTAATTAAAAGTACTCTCTTTATCTCGTTCAATCAATTTTGAACATTCGCTCGAATGCGATCGTCTCGTCTCTCGGAGAGGCTTCTGCCCCTTTTCCTTCTTTTCCATTTTCTCAGCGCTACGCTCTGGAGAGTCAGTGTCTGACAGAAACGTCAGAATCACCTGATTTTGACGTTACTGCCCGACAGTATAACGCTAAAATCAGGTGATTCTGACGTTTCTGTCAGACGCTGACTCCCCAGAGCGTTACGTTCGTCCGCGTGCGCGCAAAGACAATTCTCCCCCGACGGTTGCATTTGATACAGTGAATTAGTCTCACATTAGAGAGTCATAGCCGATTAAAGAAACAATCAAGTAAGTAGGAAATGTACTAATAATGTAAATAGAAAATGTACCAATATACCAACAATGAATCCATTCTTCGTGCCTGATAATATTATTCGCGTGAAAATTTATGTACAGAGAATTAATCCATAAAGAAAAGCGCTCTTTCTTTCGTCAAATGAACAGCAAATAACGAACTGTACGAAAGGTGGTTCACTTACTCTTCGGGGAGTCCGCGGGGGCCGGTGCGAGCGTGATGTTCTTGGAGTCGAAGAACGACCTGACCAGCTCGCAGTCGGCGGCGGGCTCGGTGCCGTTGGACGTCGTCTTCAGGCGGTGCGATCTCGCGTGCGCGATCGAGCACACGCAGTGGCACCAGACGAGGATCGCGAGCAGGAGCGAGGACGCGGGGAACCCGCGAAAGGCGGCTCGCGGGGTTATTTTCATTTTCGGCAAAATGGCCCCGGGTGACGAGACAAACGGCGAGAGAAAGAGAGAGAAATATAGAGGGAAACCCGCGAGGGAAATCCGTACGCGGGACCGGAGGACGTATCGCGAGAAAAAGATCTCACACTCGGTGAAGATCGTCTCTCTCTTCCGCTTATCGCTATAGCGCCTTCGCGATCCGTATTCCTGTGTCTTCTCCTCCTCCTCCTTCTCTTCTTCTTCTTCTTGTTTTACTGATTCGTTCCTGGCGGAGTCATCCACCGTATCGGAACGCGGTGATCGTTTGCCGAACGGCGGACGCGCCGTCAGACGGCACGACGACGGCGACGAAAACGAGCGGCGGCGGTGCTGCGAGCACTCGGGGCATGCGGCGCGAACATTTGGTGCGTTCGTAGAGGAGGAAGACGAGGAAGAGAAGGAAAAAGGAAGAGACGGGAAGAGAGGAGAGGAGAAAAGAATAAGGGAGAGAGAGGGAGAGAGAAAGAGAGGAGAGGTCAGAGACGGCGATCAGCGACGCGTCCAGGCGATCACGTACATCCAGCGGTGCTCCCGGCACATGCACGCTCGGCCACTCGGCTCGTATCACAGCATGAAACGCACATATGTATTTTTACGTGTGCGGGCGAGCGTGTGCGTATGTGTCACGTGCGAGAACGCATACACGCCACCGTACCCTACGTACAAGTTACACCGCGAACGCGAACGCGAGATGGGAGCGAGGCGGACGCGCGTCGATGCACCCCCCACGAGCGACACGATGCGACTGAAGCGCCTGGCTGATTCTCAATTCTGATATGCCTATTGCCCATTGCCCTCCCCGATTCCCGATATTCGAACGGGCTCGCCAGGTAGCGCGCGAAGCGCTGCGCCCTCTACAGTCGATACCGCGAAGCTACATTAATTTTGAAAGGGTTTCTTACGCGGTTGGTATTTATGTGCGGTCGATAAGGAAGATTTCTTTCCCTCCGCGAATGCTAATTGTTGAGTATCTTGAATGTAAATCTTGTTGACCGATGACATATTCATCTGTAAACAATCTTGACGAATTCAATGTATAATAATTTGATGTATATAGTAACAACTTGATACTTATTGTTAAAAACTTTGATTATTGTTAACAATAATAAGCAAAAGATTTCTATACATATTCATATGTGTGTTTATATATTCTTTATATACATATGTATATTTTGTAATTTTTTAAATATAAAACCTGCATTAATAATACAAATGCCTAGTATTTCAAGTTTGAGGATTTTAATGCTGAAATCACGAAAATAAAAAATTATAAGGAGAATATAATAGGTGAGGAGGTTATATTATCTAAAATTCCAAGAAATAATTCAAAAAATTTTTGAAATTTTAAGTTTGAGATTGTCAACCGCGCAAATCTAAATTTTCGAAAATCAACAAAGTAATTAAGTTAATTTCATTAATTTGATTCTTAGGCGGAACGCTTTCACAATTGCATAATATAATTTATTATTTAATGTTATTATAAAATCAATTATAAAATAAATGAATATTGATTAATCTTTTATTGTAAAAATGCCTTCCAAGGTATAAAAAATGTTAGTTTCTGCAGTAGATATTGTCTTCAAAGCTATAAATTAAATAAAAGTAATTAATCTTCTGGTTTGATTGACCTGCCATACGTTCAACGCTTCGTATTCCTCGATGCATCTATATACTGGATCAGGTTTGAATCCTTTGCTCGTACATCGCTCCAGAATATCTGACACTTTGACAGTTTTCTTATCGCCAGCGAGCTCGCGTATTAATTGGAAGATTCTGTTAGTCGGATTCTGTTGCGCGTTGTTGGTGCGTTGTTCGGAGTAATTGATCGAATGTTTGGACATCTCTACTAATCTGTTTGCTTCTGCTATGTCGTCCTTATCAACCACGTTCGATAACCGCAATCGTGCTAATGCCGTCGACAATCGGAGGATAGCCAATAGATTACGAGCGGAAGTGAATGTTTTGTCGTGGCTGTTACGCGCTTCTTTCCGCATTTCCACATAAGAGTCTGCAAAAAAATAATATTATATATATCTGCCAAATAAATATTTTATATTTTATATTTTATGACATGTATTAAGACATAATATTTAAAATATAATATGACTTGTATATATACGTACCCACAATATATTCCGTTAATTCTTCTGATACAACAGGTTCTTTCGTTTTACACAGATTTATGTATTTTCTTATCAATTGCATATCTATGGCTTCCGTCTCTGTCGGAGGTTGTGAGCAATGTTGATGAACATACGTGATATGTTGCGCGAGTCTACGAAAGAATGCTTGTAATCATTATCAGCATACAAATATAAAATTAAAAACAATTTTTATTTAGATATAAAACTGAAAGAACGGTGGTTAATATAAAAAATAATATGCGAATATTGCGAATATCATTCTAAGGGCCGGTTGTTCCAACCTATTGGTAAGCTACTTAATGGTTAAATCATATGTTTATCTTTGCCCAATGTAAAGGCTAAACAAAGGCATACATATGATTTAACTATTAGGTAGTTTAGCAACAGGCTGAAACAACCAGCCCTTAGGCCCGATTGTTCCAACCTGTTGGTAAACTAACTAATAATTAAATCATATATATGTCTTTGTTCATCCTTTACATTAGACAAAGATAGACATATTATTTAACTATTAGTTAACTTACCAACAGGTTGGAACAACCGGCCCTTAGTGTTATAAAATACTTACTTAAGATCATTACTCCGATCTGCGCGATCCTGAATAAGCCACAATAAGTCAAATCGTGACAGCAGGGCGGCGGGCAATTGAATATTCTGCTCGACCGTTCTCTGCGGATTATATCTGCCGTATGCCGGATTGGCGGCGGCTAATATAGAGACTCTGGCATTCAAACGGGCCATTATACCAGCTTTGGCGATAGATATGGTCTGTTGTTCCATCACTTCGTGAATCGCCGTTCTGTCCGCGTCTGCCATTTTATCAAATTCATCGATGCAACACACCCCCTGATCCGCCAATACTAAAGCTCCACCTTCCAGCACCATTTGGCCCGTTAAAGGATCCTTCATGATAGCAGCGGTCAAACCCACGCCAGACGATCCTCGTCCTGTGGTGTACTGCGATCTTGGGGCCAATCGCGTAATGTAGGATAATAATTGCGACTTTGCCACACCAGGATCTCCCATCAAACAAATATTGATATTGCCTAAAAGCAATAGAGTTATCTTGATATGCTTATCGGTATTTTAATGATATATTTAAGTAGAGATACATAAATGTTAAGTTCTTAAATCATGAAGACATCTTTACCTCGAATTTTAATATCGCCTCTTTTCTTGTCCGTTCCCCCAACGAGAAGCAGAAGCAACGCCTTCTTTACATCTTCAAGTCCATAAATTTCAGGAGCTAAGGAACAAGCCAACTTGTTGTAAAAATCATCCTGCATCAGTAAACTGAGTTCTTCATCGGTCAATTCTGCATTGCTCTCGTCTATGGTATTCACATTATTCAGACATATCACTTTCTGAAATCAAACGGGAAATAAACTTTGCGTAAGTAAAAGACTAGAACAATTTTATAATCGTAGAATCGATATATTTATTCTTACATGTGCATCCAAGTAAGTTTCACTGGACAGCGCAGGTCCTGCTCTAGCATGAAAACCCGTTTTCAAGAAAGGTAGAAACACACCGGTTATGATGACGTGATCCCCGGGCAGGCAAGTTCTCGTTGTTTCGCCACGACAGAAGATGGTCAATGATCGTGGTATGTGACCGACCGGAACCTGCTCGCTCTGTAAAATACAAACGTCAGTAATTCAAGAAAGAATACTTAAATATTTGCGAACTTACATGTTCTTGCAATTTTATTTCTTGAAATTTGACGAACTTTGAGCCCTTTGTCTGCAGATACAACCTGCCACCGGATTTATTTACGCGGCATCCGTCGCTCGGGCATGTTCGTATTGGCATGAAGCTCATGGAATGTACCTATAATAATTATGCAACATAAAAAAGGTCTTTTTTTAAACATGGCAAAAATTATAAAATACATATTTAAATTATATTATTTAATTATAGACTATAACTGGACATATAAAAACTCGAGAAGCAATATCAGCTTTCTTACCGGCTGGCTCACTTCCGAACCACACTCGTCGCACGTATACGTCGCCACAACTATCATCGGCTTTACTTCAGTTGCTTTAGTAACAATACCTCTAACTGTCACCAACTTCCCAATCTTGTCCGCCTTGATATCTCTCACTGAATATGCCTTCGCATCAGAGAAATCTTTAAAGTAGACTTCACTAAAAGATACAGATATTTTTGTGAGTCTGGAGTACTACTACGTAACAAATATCAGAATGTAAATTAAGTTTCCTTACAAGCGACGCATCAACTCAGGAGCATAATTAGTTTTGAGAGCACTTTGAGGTCCACCTGGAGCCCTGTTACGTGCTTCCAATAATAATCGATGCTCCGTGTACACGTCCAATGGATCTTTAGGCAGAACAACCCCTTCCTTGAAGTCAGGCAGCATCTCTTGAACCAGCTATATTAAAAAATTCATATTTAATTGATTATTGCATCCAGCTACGAAACAAACTTATACATTTAGCAACAATTTGACATTCAAATTTATGCAGTTATATGTCTACATGACAAATGTAAATTTTTCTTGTATTAAATCTTCAGTATTTGGAATAATTTTTGTGTAAACATACATTCAGGACTAAATTAGTATATCGTCGTGTATTATTAACGATAGACATGGCTAATTCGTCGTCAAACGACAGCACATCATCCAGATCGATCTCGAAGCTGATTTGTTCTCTGTGTGCTATCTTGGTAAGCATCTGTCTATATTTGAAGGTTTTATCTCCTGACTTATCGTCGATCGCCACGAATTCCAGGAAGAAGGTCTTTATTTGTTCTAAAGTATAAATATTCGTAAAATTTATTAATTTAATAGATTAACATTGTTCTTCGAAAAAGAACAGACGGATTGTCAAAATTAATTGATGTCAAGCCGGTTATATAAACAATCACTTCTCAATTGAAGTAATTCTGCAAGAACGTAAAAGATCTTACCATTGTCTTTGGTGTAATCCCTTGCTATTTTATTCGCCATTTTTCAAGAGATTTCAGTAAACGCAACCTTGCTTGAAATTCGTCTCGTTAAATGTTCTTCTCTCCCCCACGTCCCAACACGAATGTCACGGATATTGCGGTTATAAATAACGTTTACCGCGTCTTCGCGCGCAAATTAAAAGCATAGGTTATAAAACACATTGATGAGAAGCTCTAACTAGAGAAATATAAAGTCCCTATATAAGAGTTTGGCCACTGAGGCTATTCGGCTATCTAGAAAGTTGAGGAGAATAATCGACTGTGATTGGTCAATTCTTACGACTCACGACTTTACGACTCGCATTGTAGACCTAAGCAAACACTTTTACTGCCGTACAATAATCGATAAAGGTGCGATTTCATTGACGCTAGAAACTAGAGTCCTATATTAGTAGAGAAACGCAAACTTTACCCCCACTTTGCTGCCGTCGCCATCTTGTGATAATAGATCTCTCCGATTTATTTTATAAACTATTCTGAATAGCGATCTGCACTTCATTACGTTCTTTTATTTTTAACTCGTGTTGTTTTTCAATCTCATTTAAACGGGATCAATACTTCTGTGGTGAATTTACAACTTCTGACTGTATTTCACTTATCATCTTGGACAGCTAAAATTGATAAAGTGCGCGTTAAAAATTTAAGGTGCGATTTCATTGACGCTAGAAACCAGCGGCAGCGTCAAGAAAATGTAGTGGGGGTAGAAGTTCCGTTGAATTTTGCGGTACATACATACAACGAATAATTTTACAATACACAATTGTGATCTGATAAATTTGTGAAATGGCCACAACGGAAAGCATCGA